AGTACATAGTTGTCTGCTCTTGGGGGTCAGTACATAGTTGTCTGCTCTTGGGGGTCAGTACATAGTTGTCTGCTCTTGGGGTCAGTACATAGTTGTCTGCTCTTGGGGGTCAGTACATAGTTGTCTGCTCTTGGGGTCAGTACATAGTTGTCTGCTCTTGGGGGTCAGTACATAGTTGTCTGCTCTTGGGGTCAGTACATAGTTGTCTGCTCTTGGGGTCAGCACATAGTTGTCTGCTCTTGGGGTCAGCACATAGTTGTCTGCTCTTGGGGTCAGCACATAGTTGTCTGCTCTTGGGGTCAGCACATAGTTGTCTGCTCTTGGGGGTCAGTACATAGTTGTCTGCTCTTGGGGTCAGCACATAGTTGTCTGCTCTTGGGGTCAGCACATAGTAGTCTGCTCTTGGGGTCAGCACATAGTTGTCTGCTCTTGGGGTCAGCACATAGTTGTCTGCTCTGGGGGTCAGCACAGTAGTCTGCTCTTGGGGTCAGTACAGTAGTCTGCTCTGGGGGTCAGCACAGTAGTCTGCTCTGGGGGTGAGCACAGTAGTCTGCTCTTGGGGTCAGTACAGTAGTCTGCTCTGGGGGTCAGTACATAGTTGTCTGCTCTTGGGGTCAGCACAGTAGTCTGCTCTTGGGGGTGAGCACATAGTTGTCTGCTCTTGGGGTCAGCACATAGTTGTCTGCTCTTGGGGTCAGTACATAGTTGTCTGCTCTTGGGGTCAGTACATAGTTGTCTGCTCTGGGGGTCAGCACATAGTAGTCTGCTCTTGGGGTCAGCACAGTAGTCTGCTCTTGGGGTCAGCAGATAGTTGTCTGCTCTTGGGGTCATTTTGAGCTGTTGATAACTTACAGTCACTATAACTGTACTGTACCCATGGGTAATACCCAATAACGGATATTGTACCCATGGGTAATACCCAATAGCGCGTATTGTACCCAATACCCGCTGTTGGGGACCGACAGGAGCCGGTCGGCTGAGCGGACAGCACGCTGGGCTTGTGATCCTGTGGTCCCGGGTTCGATCCCGGACGCCGGCGAGAAACAATGGGCAAAGTTTCTTTCACCCTCAATGAGGCAATGATGAACCAGCAAGACTCGACCTAGTATTCACTCTGAACGATTCAGACATAAGGGAAATAGGTCTTGAAGCCCCCGTGGGTATGAGTGATCACAGTGTACTGATGTTTGAGTATCTGGTCGAAGGAGAGTTAATGTACTCAAGGAAGGGACCAGAAAGCAAGAGGGCGGCATTCCGGAAGGGAAACTATGAGGAGATGAGAAAATTCCTAACTGAAATAGCTTGGAAAACAGAGCTCAGAGGAAAGACGGTTCAAGACATGATGGACTACATCACACAGAAGTGTAAGGAGGCAGCAGACAAGTTCGTCCCAGTCCAAAAGGTAAAAAATTAAATGGAGATGAGAAACCCATGGTTTAATTAGAGTTGCAAGCTAGCAAAGCAGCTAAGTAAAAGGGTGTGGAGAAACTATAGAAACAACAGAACACAAGAGAGCAGAGAAAGTTACCAGAGCGGCCAGGAAAGAATGCGTCTGGGTGAGAAGAGAGGTAGAGAGGCAATAAGAAAATGACATAGCGCGCAAGGCAAAGACTCAACCCAAACTGCTGCACAGCCACATCAGGAGAAAAACAACAGTGAAGGAACAGGTAATGAAACTGAGGATAGGGGCAGAAAGATTCACTACAAACGGCAAGGAAGTGTGCGAGGAACTCAATAAGAAATTCCAGGAAGTCTTCGCACCAGAGCAAGAAGTCCCAGAGATAAGGGAGGGAACATCAATCCAGACACCACTAGAGGAGCTTGTGATTACCAGTGGGGAGGTGAGGAAGCATCTGCTAGATTTGGACGTGACAAAGGCTATAAGCCCGGATGGAATCTCACCGTGGATTCTAAAGGAAGGAGCAGAACCTCTGTGCCTGCCACTCTCCATGGTGTACAGCAAGTCACTGGTAACAGGTGAACTGCCAAAAATTTGGAAGACGGCCAATGTAGTCCAATATAAAAGAAGGGTGATAGGCAGGAGGCACTGAACTACAAGCAGTGTCCCTAACTTGCATTCCATGCAAGATGATGGAAAAGATTGTGCGAAAAAAGCTAGTGGAACATCTGGAGCGGAGGAACTTTGTAACACAACATCAACATGGGTTCAGGGATGGCAAATCATGCTTTATTCACTGGGATTAATTGAGTTCTATGACCAGGCAACAAAAATCAGGCAAGAGAGAGAGGGCTGGGCAGACTGCATATTTCTGGACGGGCAGAAAGCTTTTGACACAGTACCACCTAAGAGACTAGTGCACAAACTGGAGATGCAGGCAGGAGTGAAAGGGTAGGTACTCCACTGGATAAGAGAGTACCTAAGCAACAGGACACAGCGAGTCACCGTGAGGGGTGAGGTCTCGGAGTGGTGGGGAGTCACCAGTGGAGTCCCACAGGGATCAATCCTTGGACCTATACTGTTTTTGATATACTTAAATTATCTCCCAGAAGGAATTGACTTGTTCCTCTCGATGTTTGCTGATGATGCAAAAATAATGAGGAGGATCAGGACAGAGGAGGATAGTATGAGGTTACAAGATGACCAGAACAAACTGAAAGAATGGTCCGACAAATACCTACTAAAGTTCAACCCAAGTAAATGTAAGGCAATGAAACTAGGAGGAGGAACTAGGAGGCCAGTCACTGGATACCGAATGGGAGATGAAGTCCTTCACGAAACGGACAGAGAGAAAGATCTAGGAGTTAATATCACGCCAAACCTGTCTCCCGAAGCCCACATCAAAAGAATAACATCAGCGGCCTATGCGAAGCTGACTAACAACAGAACTGCTTTCAGAAACCTGTGTAAGGAATCCTTCAGAACCTTGTATACCGCATATGTAAGGCCAATCCTGGAGTATGCAGCCCCAGCATGGAGCCCGTATCTAGTCAAGCACAAGACGAAGCTGGAAAAAGTTCAGAGGTATGCCACTAGGCTAGTCCCAGAACTAAGAGGCATGAGTTATGAGGAAAGGCTGCGTGAAATACACTTCACGTCGCTGGAAGACAGAAGAGCTAGGGGAGGAGACATGATCACCATATACAAAATTCTCAGGGGAACTGACAGGGTGGACAAGGATGGATTATTTAACACGGGTGGCACACGAACAAGGAGACACAGGTGGAAGCTGAGTACCCAAATGAACCACAGAGACATTAGAAAGAACTTTTTCAGTGTCAGAGTAGTTAGTAAATGGAATGCATTAGGCAGTGATGAGGTGGAGGCTGACTCCATACACAGTTCCAAATGTAGATATGACAAAGCCCAATAGGCTCAGGAATCTGTACATCAGTTGTTTGACGGTTGAGAGGCGGGACCAAAGAGCCAGAGCTCAACCCCCGCAAGCAAAATTAGGTGAGATGGGGAGGGGGTGAGTACACACACACACACCGGTGCCGGTATGGCCGGTGGCTGAGCAGACAGCACGCTGGACGCATGATCCTGTGGTCCCGGGTTCGATCCCGGGCGCCGGCGAGAAACAATGAGCAGAGTTTCTTTCACCCTATGCTCCTGTTACCTAGCAGTAAATAGGTACCTGGGAGTTAGTCAGCTGTCACGGGCTGCTTCCTGGTGTGTGTGTGTGTGGTGTGGTGTGGAGAAAAAAATAGTAGTTAGTAACAGTTGATTGACAGTTGAGAGGCGGGCCGAAAGAGCAGAGCTCAACCCCCGCAAGCACAACTAGGTGAGTAGACACACACACACAAACGAAGGTGTTCGCAAGAGAGGAGACATTGCGGAGGTGTATAAATTACTGAGGAGAATTGCAGCGTGGAAAGATGGCGTTCAGATTAAATGCAACTAGATCAGAGGGCCACGATGGGGGCCACGATGGGGGCCACGATGGGGGCCACGATGGGGGCCACGATGGGGGCCACGATGGGGGCCACGATGGGGGCCACGATGGGGGCCACGATGGGGGCCACGATGGGGGCCACGATGGGGGCCACGATGGGGGCCACGATGGGGGCCACGATGGGGGCCACGATGGGGGCCACGATGGGGGCAACGATGGGGGCCACGATGGGGGCCACGATGGGGGCCACGATGGGGGCCACGATGGGGGCCACGATGGGGGCCACAGGGGCCACGATGGGGGCCACGATGGGGGCCACGATGGGGGCCACGATGGGGGCCACGATGGGGGCCACGATGGGGGCCACGGGGCACCAGGGATGGGAGCTTGAGACACCGAGGAGTCATAGAGATGTTACAAAGTTTTCTCTTAACGTGAGAGTTGAGTGAGAGAGACTGAAGGAGCCGGTTGTGGAAACAAATTCCTTTCCTAAATTCAAAAGCAGATATGATGCAGAACTAGGTCAGGAGCCGCTGCAATAGACAACAAGAGGCTATAAAGACGGGGGCCAAAGAGCTAAAGCTCTCTGTTACGGGCTCACCATAGTCCGTGCTACATGGACACTTCGTTCTGAGTAGCTAACTCAAAATCAACAACAGCAGCTAAAGCTCAATCGCTCACACACACAGCGGCCGACTCCCCCCCCCCCCTCTGGCTTTACTGAGTCAGCTGGCCCGTGACAGCTGACTAACTCCCAGGTACCTATTTACTGCTCGTCCAACTAGTAAAGCTTCGAGTAACTAATAAAGACTCCAGCTTTACTAGTTCGACTTTACAAAGGCGAACTCCTGGGCTTGGATGTCACAGGCGGGGTCCATTCAGCCACGGAGGGGGCCACCAGGGATCATGGGGGGGGGCAGTACAGTACTAGAAAGAGTAATCAGGTCTACCAGCCTGTGGAGTGTTCTGGAGGCCAACTGCCAGCAGTAACAGTGGCGGCGATCAACTCCTGCGGCCATGTTGGCGGGAGGAGGGGGGGGGGGGTTATATAGGAACAAGGCAGCCATTAACAGGGATATCATCCAGAGTTATCACGTTATTCCATCAATTATTCAAGTAATGCTTGAATAATTGATGAGGTACTCACACACACACACACACACACACACACACACACACACACACACACACACACACACACACACACACACACACACACACACACACACACACACACACACACACACACACACACACACACACACACACACACTCTTTGTGCGTGGGTGGTGACTGAGTGGACAGCGCTCTAGACTCGTGGACCTAGGATCCGGGGTTCGATCCCCCGGCACCGCTGGAAAAACCAAAGGGCAGAGATTCCTACACCCTGATGCCTCTGTTACCTAGCAGTAAATAGGTACCTGGGAGTTAGACAGCTGTTACGGCCTGCTTCCTGGGTGCGTGTGTGAGAAAAAAATTAGTTAGTTGTTAGTAATAGTTGATTGACAATTGAGAGGCGGGCCGAAAGAGCAGAGCTCAACCCTCGCAAGCATAACTAGGTGAATACAACTAGGTGAATACACACACTAATGAAGATGGGAGATGAAATTCTTCAAGAATCAGAGATAAAGACTTGGGGGTTGATATCACCTGTCCCCTGAAGCCCTGATCAAGAGGATATCAGCAGCGGCATGTTATATTGGCCAACTTAAGAACGGTCTTTAGAAACTTAGATAACTTGCGTAAGGAATCATTCAGAACCTTGTATACCACATATGTCAGACCAATCCTGGAGTATGCAGCTCCAGCATGGAGCCCGTAAGTAGTCAAGAACAAGAATAAATTGGAGAAGGGTTTGCCACCAGACTAGCACCTGAGCTGAGCGATATGAGTTACGAGGAGAGACTACGGGAACTAAACTTTACGTCGCTGGAAGATAGAAGAATTAAGGAAGACATGATCACCACATACAAGATTTTTAGAGGAATTGATAGGGTAGATAAAGACAGTTAACACAGGGGGAATAGGCAGTGGGGACCAAATGAGCCACAGGGTGGAAACTGAGCGTTAGAAAGAACTTTTTCAGTGTCAGAGTAGTTAACGGATGGAATGCATTAGTCAGTGATGTGGTGGAGGCTGACTCCATACACAGTTTATAGTGTAGATATGATAGAGCCCAGTAGGCTCAGGAACCTGTACACCAGTTGATTGACGGTTGAGAGGCGGGACCAATCAAACGATGCTCAACCACCGCAATCACGATTAGGTGAGTTCACACAACTGAGAGGACAGCGCTCGGGAGTCGTAGTCCTAAGGGCCCGGGTTCGATCCCCGGAGGAGTCGGAAACAAATCGGCAGTTTCTTTCACTCTGGTGCCCCTGTTCATCTAGCGGTAAAGAGGTACCTGGGAGTTAGACAGCTGCTACGGGCTGCTTCCTGGGGATGTGTGTGTGTGTGTGAGTGTGTGTGTGTTTGTGTGTGTGTGTGTATGTGTGTATGTGTGTATGTGTGTGTGTGTGTGTGTGTGTGTGTGTGTGTGTGTGTGTGTGTGTGTGTGTGTGTGTGTGTGTGTGTGTGTGTGTGTGTGTGTGTGTGTGTGTGTGTGTGTGTTGCAGAGAAATATATGTAGTAGATATAACAGAAGAAAAATAGATTGGTTAGAAAGGCCGGGAGACAAGAGGTAATAGTTCGATTCTCCAGACACAAATAGTAAACACACACACACACACACACATATCGCTGCGAACCCAAGAACCAAAGCTCAACCCCCCTCCCCCCCACACAAGCACAACCAGGAGAGCTCCCACACGCGTGCGCACACCCACAAAACAAATCCCCCCCCCCCCCCCCTTCCAAATTCGTGTGTTTTCACCACTCCCTGTAATTCCCGCCTTTATTACAGGTGTGCATTTCTTTATTTTCTGTTATAAAACATGACAAATCCAGTTACTTGCCAGCGCGCGAAGTCATCTTTTGCAGCTTTTTGGTCAAGAATTTGCATGTAATTTGGCTAAATAAATCAGTGGACGATTAGTGGCTATTTTGCATGACTCTGATGTTTATGTCTAGCTGAAGGAGGGGGGATTTATAGAGCTTTTTTTTTTCTCTTGTTTTTATTGGACGTATTACTGGTAAATGATAACCTTTGTGCTCTTCTCTTTCCCCCCCCCCTCCCCCCCTCTCCCTCTCCCCCCTCTCTCTCTCTCTTCTTTCCCTCTTTCTCTTCTTCTCTCTCTCCTTCCTACCCCTCCCCTCTTTTCTTACCCCCCTGCTATCCACTAGACCCAAGCTCTGGATGGCATTGCTAAATGATTTAACAACCTCTCCAGAGTCCCTCGGAAGGGCCAGGTATATACAGGAGCCGGGTATACACAGGAGCCAGGTATACACAGGTGCCAGGTATACATGTGTGTGAGAGGAATGAGCTACGAGGAAAGGCTAAAGGAGCTGAACCTCACATCCCTGGAAAACAGAAGAGTAAGGGGAGACATGATAACCACCTACAAAATTCTCAGGGGAATTGACAGGGTGGACAAAGACAAACTCTTCAGCACGGGTGGGACACGAACAAGGGGACACAGGTGGAAACAGTACCCAGATGAGCCACAGAGACGTCAGAAAGAATTTTTTCAGTGTCAGAGTAGTTAATAAATGGAATGCATTAGGGGGTGATGTGGTGGAGGCTGACTCCATACACAGTTTCAAATGTAGATATGATAGAGCCCAGTAGGCTCAGGAATCAGTACACCAGTTAATTGACAGTTGAGAGGCGGGACCAAAGAGCCAAAGCTCAACCCCGGCAAGCACAATTAGGTGAGTACAATTAGGTGAGTACATAGGAGCCAGGTATACACAGGTGCCAGGTATACATAGGAGCCAGGTACACACAGGAGCCAGGTATACACAGGAGCCAGGTATACACAGGAGCCAGATATACACAGGTGCCAGGTATACATAGGAGCCAGGTATACACAGGAGTCAGGTATACACAGGTGCCAGGTATACACAGGAGTCAGGTATACACAGGTGCCAGGTATACATAGGAGCCAGGTATACACAGGAGTCAGGTATATCACTGGGTCACTGTGACTCCTGGTCGTCACTGCGGGTTCTCTCTCACACTTGCTTTGATCTGCTTGCTTACACACGCACTCACACGCGTGCATGCACACACACGCGCGCGCGCACACGCTACTATCAAGGATTGGTGATGGGCCCATACTAGTTTTCATTTATGTAAACGACCTCTCAGCAGGAATTGCAACGATATGTCAGTGTTTGCAGACGTTGTACAGCTAATGAAAAGACTTGTGACAGATGAGGGTTGGAAGATTCTCCCGGACGACTTAAACAAGCTACAATGTTGGTCCGAGAAATGGCCGCTTGAGTCTAACACCGTTAAGTGTAAGGTGATGGAAATGGGAGCAGGTGTCACGAGACAAAATGGACAGTACAAAATGAAGATGAACTAACCTACTTTTAACGACTAGTGAAAAAGGACTTAAGAGTGGACATAACACCTAACTTAACTCCGGAGACTAGTATAAGTAGGCTGACGTCAGCAGCGTACTTTACACTAGCAAAAGTCATAACATCATTCGGCAACGTAAATAAGGAGGCATTTAGATCCCAGTAGACCACGTACGTGAGACCTGTCTTACAGTATGCAGCCCCGTTATGGCGCCCCCCATCTAAAGAAACACATAAGGAAACTCGAAATATTCAAAGGTTTGCATCCAGGGGGCCAGATTCACGAAAGCACTTACGCAAATACTTACGAACGTGTACATCTTTCCTCAATCTTTGACGGCTTTGGTTACATTTATTAAACAGTTTACAAGCATGAAAACTTCCCAATCAACTGTTGTTATTGTTATAAACAGCCTCCTGGTGCTTCGGAGCTCATTAACTGTTTAATAATTGTAAACAAAGCCGCCAAAGACTGAGAAAAGGTGTACAGGTTCGTAAGTGCTTGCGTAAGTACTTTCGTGAATCTGGCCCCAGACTCGTTACAGAATTGCTAGGGATGGGGTATGAAGAGAGACTGAAGGAACTGAACCTGACAACGTTAGAAAAGAGGATAGAAAGAGGGATATGATGCATATTAGAGGGGGATTGACAGACTGCACAAAGTGGAAACGTTCTCATTGACTGCTAATAGTACATTAGGTCACGGATGGAAGCTTAAGACTCTAATGAGTTATAGAGATGTTAGAAAGTTTTTATTTAGTGCGAGAGTAGTGGGACAATGGAAGGAACTATAGAAGCAGGTTGTGGAAGCAAACTACATTCGTCATTTTAAAAGTAGATTTGAACGGGAAATAAATCAGGTGTCGCTGCATGAGTCAGCTGATGGATGGGAAAGTTGGGGCCAAGAGCTATTACTCGACC